TATACTTCAAAGCTTACAAAAGCAAAAGGAAAATCTTGTTGCTTTCTTTTCCTCTCAAGAATGGTTGGAAAAAAAGCCTATGCAAATCCTATGAAACAAAGTTGGCTAAGCATCATGTGCTACATAATAGTGAGTTTTGGGTTAGAGTTTCCTTTTGCATTAAGGGTGTTCTTCCTCTTGTTTGTGTCTTGAGAGAGGTTGACTTGCAGGAGAGACCCACCATGGGTTGTATATATGAGTTGATGGATGCTGCAAAAGAGAAAATTGCAAACAATCTTAACAAAGTGAAGAAAAAAATTATGCCTATTTTGAAAAAGATAGATCGTAGATGGGACGATCAATTTCATCAACCATTACATGCGGTGGGCTATTACTTGAATTCATAATTTCGGTATGAGAATAATTTCTTAAATAGTGGCGAAATGTGAAGTGGGTTGTTTGCCTGCATGGATATGATGCTTGGGAATGGCAAAGAATGTGAAGATGTAGATATCCAATTGGATTCATATGATAAAAGGCTTGGTGAATTTGTAGATCCTATGGCTATGCAAACTAGGAAAAGGTGAACTCCAAGTAAGATTTAATTAGTCAATTGTTAATATATTTTTATCATTAACCTTTAATTATTTACTTTACTAATATTGTTTTTTAGTTGTTTAGTGGGAGCGTTTTGGGACTAAAACACCTGAGTTAATGAAGTTTGCTATTCGAGTTCTTAGTTTTACTTGTAGTGCGTCGGGATGTGATAAGAATTAGAGCACATTTCAAATTGTAAGTAAATATATTATTAGTATTTGTTGGGGGACTTTTAGGTCGAGGTGAACTTGGGCTTTGAGAACGTCCTCTTGTCTCCCTTGGTACGGGTTCGTAACAAGTCTTGGGATATCTCAAAAGAGGTAAATTGTCTTAGGAAATACCCCGGTAACATCATCGCCTGGAAGATAGCATGAAAGATCAAGATAATTACTTGCTTAAGTGAAGCGTGGTGTGGAAGCTAGAAGATTATCAGTTTACATAAGAGAGAAAGTTGGCATGGTTGCATGACATTCTTAGCTGCATGTTTTGGGTTTTCCTAGGTGTTAGCAAGGCTTCTAATGGTTGAGATATTTGATTGAAGGCTTGTGGAAATTGCCAAGGTTTCATGAATGGTGATGTCTGAAACTTGGAGTATGCTTCTGGACTAAAATGTAACTTTCTGGGCTTCTTCCTATGTGGTTCTCTCTCACTACGTTTTCTCTATCTCCTCCTCCCTGTTAATCTCAATCCACTTCTAATGGTTTCTCTCCCTCCTTATGTAAGTGAATGCTTCTTCTCTAAGTTTCAAGAGAATATCCCCTCGTGGCTTGGTCTTCCTCTCCCTTTTCCCTAGCTATCCTATTATTTCAATTTTGGTGTGAACTAGCTGCATTGTTAAGACCTGCAGATTGCTACTTACCAAGACGTGGCTTTACCAGGACGACCTTCCACATACACTAAATCTGGTAGCGCGTTTCATGGCTTTTGCGCGTTGACTGTTTGTGCAGGCTAGGAAGGGAAAGTCAGCATTAAATCCCTGACTTGTTGGGCTTAACATGCATTTAATGCAAGAATCTAGTTTAATCCTAACCAAGGGGGTTGGCTTGCTAGGGAAAAGGATAAACTAGGCTAGTTTTCTCTCAATGATGCCTGCGTGAAATACAAAGGCTATGGACTTGGATCTTTTGGCTCCCAAGTAGCCCAAAGTCTTCCATGACCCCGATTCCACGTAGGCTCGATAACCTTTTGTAACCATCCACACCACACCACTTGGAAAGCCTCGAATATGTGACTTGGGCTTAGCATGAATTATGGATAAGAAAGCATGGTGTGAATATTCGGTTTAAACACCATGGCATGGCATGTTGGTAAAATATATTCCTTGTTGATCCCACGCCTTGGCATGTGTTTGGGCTTGAATGTGGGCTTTGCATAACAATTAGGCCTTGAGACTTGGTTGGGTTGGAGTGTGACATTTTTTGGCCCTAATAGTATTTTATGTCATTTTTGCTTAAGATGATTAGACTTAAACAATAGAATTAATTTTACATTTATTTGTAGATTCATACAAAAGGGAGGAATATGCTAAACACAAAAAGCTTAATGTTTTAGCCTATGTGAAGTACAATTTTGCTTTGCAAGAAGAAGTCTTAGAAGTAGGAAGAAGTGTGATCCCATTGTTGTGGAAAAAATTACCTTTGATGGTGAATGAATAACGGAGATAGTAGATCCCGTTCTTCCCGAAGATCCTAGATAGCTTGAGGATGAGTCATTGTACAATGTTGAGGCCATAAAGTAATGTGCCACTCGTGGTTTATGAAGGTGGCCCATACATTTGAGAGCCTTCTCTTCCTTCTCACGAGCCTACTCAACCTCAAGGTCCTATTACTTTAAAAATAAAACAGGTTAACGAAGAAACCTCAAGTCGAAGAAATTTGAGTTTGATTTTGAAGATTTGTTTATTGAATTGATGGCATACCCTACAAGTCATCTAGACTTGGCAATGAAGAGGATGATGTTACCTTTGATTTAGATGAGGAAGACTTATATGAATGATTTATTTGTTTGTATTACCTTTTGAATGATGAATTTGGATGACATTACCTTTGAATGATAATTTAGATGATATTATCTTTTGAATAACAATGGATTTGAATGATAAATTGATAATGGATGTTTGTTTAACAAAATATTATTTTTTATACAATTGAATGATAAACTCTCAATAATACAACCTCACTTACATTTTTCAGATTGTCATAACATGTCGTGTCATATAAGAAGTCATCGGTGAAGGAATTTCAAGATTGATTTTATATTTCCTAATTGAAACAATTGATGGGTTTTCCATGATAGTGTATTTAAGTTTTATTCATTGTAAGGATGAAAATAGCCAAATAGAAAGGGAAAATGTTTTAGTCATGAAAAAGCAGTCGATGAGTTGTCGCTCATTCCTCAGCCACTGTCAAGAATGATTTAACGAGGATCAATGCACTTTCTTGTTTCACCGATGTTTATGCCGAAATCCCAATGCTCAAAATAATATTTATTAAAGTCATAATGAGGTGGTTGGGGCAACACCTTAGACCGTAAACTCCAAGTCATAAATGGAATAAGGTTATATCGCATTGCTTTGCTTGGTGGGGCAAGGGCTAGATGTGTAAAGAATACAAAATGAAAGCCAAGCGACTAAGTTGTTCAAATTATACATAAATAGTAATGAGAGCAAGGATTAGGGTTGGGTTCAATTCAAAACGGTTCGGATCAAATTATTTTTCGATTCAGTTTCGGCCCGATTCAGTGTTTTTTATTTATTTTTTCCACAGATTTTGTTTTTCTTCAATAGCAAAAAAAATCCTTAAGAAAACAAAGCTTACACCCATTTTGTAATACATCTTCTAGTGGAGTATAAATAAATTCCAGATGATTAAATTAAGATCTTAAGGCCCTTTCCCACATCTACTATTTCCCTCAGATTCTTTACCTTTGCTTCAATAGCTCCGAACATAACAAGCTTGAACAATCAACCCCAAAGCTCGCAATCACTAAAGTATTATCAATCTTTTAGAAACCTCTGCAAGCACATTCAATGTCTTTAGGAAATGGAAAAAATGTTTATTAGAAATCCAAATAACATCACTCATTTGTTATTCAAAATGTCAGTTCTATGACCAGATAAAACTTCATTCTACTGGAATAAAGTATGATTCAATAAAAGAAAATAAATATCATAACCCAGATTTTAGAGACAACTACCTAACAATTCAAAGAAGAATGTCCTACTGACAAAGACTGAGAAATCGATGTGTCTGACAAAGACTAGGACTTCATTTGTAAAAACATATCAATTCAAATGTGTTTGAGAAATCATACATCTTCTTTATTCCCCCAGCTATCATAAGTAACGAAGTACCTATCCGTCGGCAAGCCTCGAGCTTCCTTTCCAGGTGTTGATCCACAGGTAAGCCTCAAGCTCCTTCTCCTCTAGCTCTGCCAATGAGACGAAAGACGAAATTAACTGATGCCTCAGAGTCTCGACAAAATTATTGTAATCTAATGGAGTAGTAGGAGCTTCAAATCTTACAAAACAAGGGAAAAGAATAAGAATAGAAGGAGAAAATATGAAAAATGAGGAAGCAGAAAGGAAGAAAGTAGCGGAGGAGAGAGAAAGAGTGTGTGTGTGTGTGTGTGTGTTTGAGAAGAGATGAAAATTGAAATAGGAATGACGGCTAGGGTTTGTAAACTTTGGAAATTTTATGAAGCATTAAAGATTAGAATGCATATAAATATTTTACTGGTACAAATATATCAACACAAAGTCGACAATCAAGTTGGCTTGAAGCGACTATCTCTAACCAGGAAGGAAATGGTTCAAACCCTTAAGCCACTAGGTTTTAAGCATTTATATATGATTTTCATATTTCAGTTCGGTTCAGTTTCCAAACCTCAAAAATCAAAACCAAACCAACTAAATTCGGTTTAGTTTGGTTTGACAGCTTCAGTTTGGTTTTTTTTCGATCTTGGTTCAGTTTTCGGCCTAGTTTTTTTCGGTTTTCGATTTTTTCCAACCCACCCCTAGCAGGGATCTCTAGGTCTACGAATTTTAAACTTTAAAACTACAAGTATTTTCTCGTTCTTTATTTTCTTGTTATATGCCAATATGTATCAGTGACGTGGATTTTCGTCACTTAATAACTTTACATGTGACGGAATAGGTGTCACAAAACATAAAATTCAATGACCTATGCATTCGTCACATATTAGATGTATAAATGAGGAATTTATCATCACCCAAACATGATCCTACAATGCTATGGCTAAGGATAAGTGAGACTAAAAGTGTCACCTATTCTTTTGACATGTGGCGCAACTTGTGACACACATGTCAAAACCATATACCTATTAGGAACAATATGAGATGAGTCAATTACCACATATTCCATGTTTTGTCATCTGGAATTAGAATATATAACAATATGAGGTAATACTTTGGTCAATCATATTTTCATTGATCAATAATTTAGGTAACATTTAGTACATACACAAACTGTACATCCCAAAAGCTAACATAAACATCATAGCACCTCTAGACATATTGAGATGCTAATAAGAGTCTAAGACATTGAGTTAGTAATAAAAAAGGTATACCATGTGCATGTTTGAAACCAACAACAAAAGACGATATATGTCATCATCCATATCATGGTCTTCCAGTTTGGCACACAAGTTGTAGTCGTCTGAAAGATCACCTTCACTACCTCAATTGCTTCTTGAATACCTTCTTCTTTAACTTCATCATTCTTTCTCTTCATCTTATCCTTGGATAATAAAAGAGCAAATAATAAAGATTCATGCATGTTTGTCTCAAGCAAGTACACCGGTGCATTGGGAATTTGAATAACATCAATAAAAGAGAAGAAAATAAGAATTGAAGAAATAGTTACAGTAAGAACAAAACATAACAGGCGAGCCTATCTAAATTAGGGGTGTAAATTTTTACCAAATTACCATGCCAACCGCCTTACCAACCGTACCATACCAAATATTTGCCAAAAAATTGTACCAATTGGTAATGGTACAATATTTGTACCGTACCGTACATTTTCAGTATAGTAGTGGTATCCAAAACCATTACCAATATTATTAATATTATATTATATATTTATTCATTTATATATATATATATATAATTATGTATTATGTAATTTTTATTAATATTACTATATCCTAAGCATTTATCCAAAAAGTTCCAAACTACTCTAACTCTTTGCCCAATAGAAACCTAAGCCTTTTCCGCCATCGCAGCTTATAGTTTCTCTCAATGCTGTCAACTCATATCCGTTTCTCTTGTTTTTGGTGACTTTGTCCTTCTCTGTAGTCCATCTCATCATCTCTTTCATCAACTTGGGTTGTCCTTCTCCGCGGTTTCGTTTATCAAGGTAATGTATATAAAATTTTGAAGAAAATAGAGATGGAGTTTAGGAATCTCTTTCATCAGTTTTTCCATTGTACTCTTTTATCAATTTTTCCATCATACTCTGTCATCAATTTTGAAGAATGGGTTATCATTCTCTGTAATTAGATAAAACTTTCAGAAATCCTAAATTGAGAAAATTGGGGATTTATTAATTGGTTTGCTTTTATATCACCTATTTTGCTTTTTCCCTACTTGCTTTTTTATATTGCATACTAATGCATAAAATTAGGAATTGGTGCCTTATTCACTTGCTGCAAGATAAAATTGGGGATTGGTGTCTTTCAAAACTTTATTCAATTGGGTATTACTTTGCATACTAATATGATAAAATAGTAGAGTTATATGACTTATTCACTTACTGCCTGATTAAATTGGAGATTGGTGTTCTGTTGGTGTGCATGCTGTTTTACCTATTTTGCTTGCTTCAAGCATGATTTTATCTTTTAAAATGTATGAATTATTGCGGAGTTATATGGCTTATTTATATGACTATGCATACAATTTATATGAATGAGTTACAAGGCTAGCTACTATATTTTAATATAACTTTGTGTCTTATTTTGGTTAATAGGTCAAGATGGAGTTTAGGAATAGTCATGGCTCTACTAGTACACCTTCCACCACTCAATCCCAACCTCAACCTCAACTCCAAACATTGAAACACAACCTCAACAACAAAATCAAGAAGAAGTGGATGAAAGTGTGGGAAGTGGTAAGAGAGGTGACAATGATATTAGTGGGGGGAGATTGGTGGTGTGGTCACATGCTAAGAAAGTGGTAAGAAAAGGGAATAAAAGTAAAAAAATTCACCTTGCAATTTGCTGACATTGTAAGAAAGAGTGTCCGACTGATCCTGATAAAAATGGGACATCAAACATAGGATATCACCTTAGAAAAGTTTGTAAAGATTCGCCCCTGTTATATCAAAGGTGATAAAAATCAACCGATCTTAACAAATGAGTCCATGGGTAGTAGATTGGTCCCCTACACCTTTAACCAAAAGAGACTAGAGTTAAGGGGTGTGATGTTTGTCATCAAGGATGAACAACCATTTAAGGTGGTTAAAGGTGGTGGATATATTAATATGATGAAAGAGGCTCTACCTCGGTTCAAGATTCCAAACAAGAGAAAGATTACGGCCGGTGTGTGGGATTTGTTTGTATTAGAGAAGTCTAAACTATTTGAAGATATGTGTAATCAAAGGGTAAGTATCACAACCGATACTTGAACATCGATTTAAAACATCAACTACATGGTAGTTGTGGATGCAAATTTCCGACTTCTTCTTTGTTAATGCACAAAACCGGAGGTCTTGGAACAACGTAAATCCGACCGTGAATCTGCAAGAAATATAAATAACACAAGACGTATCGTGGTTCACCCCAATGTTTGGGCTACGTCCACACTGATATTGTATTTCTCTATTTGTGAGAGGATGAGAGGGTGAGAGTGAGGCTTCTCATGGCCTAAGAATTGGTCTCTCCTAATAAAGAGAGTGAGAAGTCCTTTTATAGAATAAGGGCTCATCACTTATTACATATTTGTCCCTTCATTTATTACATAATTACATTTGAGTCCCCCGAGTATTTATATGAGATTTAAATATGGAGGCCCTAAGTATGGTATAAACATTCTCATTTGACAAAAATGCACCTGCAAAATAATAACACTAAGATCAAGGCCAAGATCCTCACGTGCCTATGATGAATAGGGGGGCTTTGGCCGAAGAATCTCTTATGCTAAAGTTAGAATTTGAGAAAGAAAGTGTTTAGAGAATTTTAGGGAGAGAATCAACTTACCTTTTAGGTGGAGAAATGAGACTATATATAGGGGTGTGGTCAGCCTTATTTGGAGAAAATAGGGACCAGCCATATATGGTGGTATTTTGAATATAATTGCAAGATATTATCTCCAATAATATCTTGCAATTAATTTGGTAATTAATCCCAATTTGAAAAGAATAATTGGGAGTTACCTTGTGGTGAGGATTTGATGAGGAGTGATGAGAAGGTTTTGAATAAGTACCGTTTTGATCACCCTGGACCTCGATTGAGCTGTTATTGTTCATTACATGCGCGTGGGAATCCCGGTGTGCCTGAAGAGCAATTTTATCTTTTTAACCAAAAGTCCATGTGTCGCCTCCATAATTTTCTTGACTATTTTTTGCTCATAAATGACCCCACACCTGCTGGGCTGCCTGTAGGAAAGGGCAGTAGGTGTAGAGATCTCTAACTTTAATGCAAATTCCCACCTGGATTTGGAATTAGATTCTTCTAGGAAAGGGAAATAAATTACCTCCAAAGCCTATTTAAGCCTACCTTAAGTAGGGGATTAAATCAACTTCAGAGGTTAATTATTTATCCCTACAAGAAAGAGAGAAAACTAGAGGATATTTGTTCCCCCTCCCTTAGCACGCTTATTTGCTTGCCTGTGCAAAGAACCGTCATCCGTTGATTTTTTTGTCTTCTCCGCGTCGCATCGATGTAAGAAAAACTTAATTTTATTTGTCTTCTTCTTGGGTGGTCTTGCCATGGGGCAGCCGTTAGGGTGGTGCGGCACATCGACTGGTAAAGGCTAAGAGTCAACTTGGCATAGCCCGAGAAGGTGGTGTGGCTAGGGCCACAACTTGTGCTGCTCAGCTTGACTGAAGTCAAGGGCTAGCTTGGCATGGGCCGAGGAAATGGTGTGGCATTGGCCACGGTTTAGGCTACCACATCTGGGTTGCTTGCTAGAAATGAGAAAACTACTTGAGTTTGATTTCTCTGATGTCGTAGATGGAGATGCCAAGATCAGAGCTGCTGAAGATGATGTGTCAGATGAGCGAACTATTGAGTGCGAAGTGGTTGCTGCCCCTAACCATTTTTTGCTTAGCTAGTCTTCAAGTATTCAATATTTTAAGCTGTGTGGCCTTCTCACACTAGAAAGCTTACCCAGACGGATGCTGGGGAATTGGTTTATACTCTTGCGCTGAAGAGCTTACCCAGATGGGTGTCGAGGAATTAATTTACCCTCTTGCACTGGAAAGCAATTAGATTACCCTATCGTACTAGAGAGCTTACCCATATGGATGTTGGGGAATTGGTTTACCCTCTCGCACTGGAGAGCAATTAGTTTAACCTCTCGTATTGGAAAACAGACCCATATGGGTGTCAGGGAATTGGTTTACCCTCTCATACTAGAAAGCAATTAGTTTAACCTTTCGCACTAAAGAGCAGACCCATATGGGTGTTGGGGAATTGGTTTACCTTCTTACATTAAAGATCAATTAGTTTAACCTCTCGCATTGGAAAGCGAAACCATATGGAGGTTTGAGCATTTGTTGTAGACAGCATGAATAACTTCTTTAATCTTCATTGAGAATAAAGAAATAGATCAACTATGCTAAAAGGTAGAAAATGCATAACAAATTGGATAATCCTCGTCTTACGAGGTCTTGTTCGTCAAGCTGCTTGAGACTTCGAACTTATTTGGAAAAGCACTAACGGGGTTCAGGGTGTGATGGAGATTTCCTTTGGTTGTGTAGGCTTTGTCGTTGACCTGTCAAGATACTTGTTGCACCGATCCTCATTTATAAGCTTTTCAAAGTACTGCTTCCACTTCAGGCAGCCGTTGGTAGTGTGGCCTGGTCTTTGATGGAATGCATAATACTTTGTCTGATTCAGCCTAGTAAGATCACCCTTCATAAGTGGTGGCAGTTCGAACCAAGGTTCGTACTTGAGCTTGCGAAGAATTTGGCCAATTGGAATTGTGAACTTGGTGAATGTTTCGGGCGCTAAGTCTTCTCTAGTTGGGGAACATTCCATGTGCTTCTTTTTTGACTCGTTTTTGTTAGACTGCTTGGCCTCGTCCCATAGTGTGTGCTTATCCGCCAAAGCATACAAAGTTGTCAGGGTCAATTCTTTTCCCATGATCAATTTTCCAAATAAAGGGTGTTCAGTGGGAAACCCATTTCTGAATGATACTGTTGCTATGTCTTCATTGTAGCCAACAATCTTAGCCTTCTTCGCTTTGAACTTGTTGACATAGTCGCGAATTGTCTCCCAAGGGTCTTTTACGATGTTGAAGAGATGGTCGAATGTCCTTTTAATTGAGCAGTTAGACGAATACTCCTTAGTGAAAACTAAGGAAAGTTCGTTGAAACTCCTGATCGACTGAGGTTGTAAGGTGTGAAACTAGTCTTGCGCCTCGCCTTGTAAAGTTGTGACAAAAATTTTGCACATAAGAACGTCATTGTTCCTGTAGAGGATAATGGTACTGCTGTAGTGCTTGAGATGTCAATCTGGATCTTCGTTTCCCTTGTACGGAGTAAAGTGAGGCATAGTGAACCCACGAGGTGGATCT